TATAAGAATAATAATTATTTTTAATTGTTTTTAATTATTTTAATTATTTTTTTAATTATTATTTTAGCAAATTAAATGTCAAAGAAGTAATTGATTTTATTGAAGAAGTTTGGAAAAAAGTAACACAATTAACAATTACAAATTGTTAAATCAAAACAGGTATTTTATCAGATACAAATGAAGAAGAAATTAATAATGCTGAAAATAATATGCAAGATGAATATTTACAAAATCAAAATAAAATTGATAATTTTTTATTAGATATAGATATTTCACTAGAATTTGATGACAATAATATAGCTACTGAAGAACCATTAACAGATGATCAAATAATTGAAATGGTATTAGAAGAAAATAATTCTACATCACAAAATATTAATAATGAATCTGACAATGAAAAAACACAAAAAATACCTACTGTTAGTATAAAAGAAGGTCTTGTATCTTTAAAAAAATAGATAAGTTTTTTTGAACAACAAAATTCAGATGATTTTTGTTTTGAAGATTTAATCAAGTTTAAAAAATATATACGAATTATTGAAAAAATGAAATTTGCAAGTAAAAAACAAACAAAATTAGATAGTATTTTTTCTACAGATATGAGTTTTGAAATAACTGAGATAGATATTTTAAATTCTAATTATAAAATGAATGAAAATTTTGAAATAACTGAAGTAGATACTTTAAATTCAAATTTTAAAATAAATGAAAATATTAAATTGGAAAATTATATGTAATATAAAATTTAATAAAAGTTATACATAATAATATAAAATTTAATAAAAGTTATATATAAAAATTTATAATCACTGGTAATATATTTTTTATATGATGTAATTATATATAGGTTTTTTTTGTAATATCACATTTGCTTATAATTACTACCAAAATTTGGTCCCGAGGTGATGATTATATATAGGTCTGACTGTATATGTATGGCTATAGCTTACTTTTTTAGTACAGAGTCTAATTATTATTCTCGAAATATTAGAGTTTCTTCATTATCTCTAGTAATGTTACTTAATCATTGAAATTCTTTATTAATTAAAAATTTGTCTTTATTACTTGATGATTTAGTTAGATTTTTGAATTGTTTATTTTGTGACAGTACCGGTTTCCTTATTTCTTAATTTTTAGTATACTTAATTATCACTTGCCTATTTGACTCTTCAATTTCAGGTTCTTCAAAGAATTCTTGTTCTTCTTTTGTCTGCTTTGTAGGTTCTATATTGATATATACTTCTTCATTTATTTGTAATAAAGTATCATAAAGAACTTGACATACTTTCAAAGTTCGTAGTTGATCATAATTTTCATAACATAATTCTTTATATCTTTTTCATAATCTTGAATCCCATTGCTTAACAGTTTCACCTGGCTTTCTGTTATTAATATTGATATTGAGAGTTGTCTCAGGTACTTGTAATGGAACTATTTCAAAAATATTAATTGGTACTTGAATAGAAGTAAGTAATTGAGTATATTGATTTTTTGAACTAGCATAATATTGACGAAGTTTTTGTGGTGTTGAAAGAATTTGACCATAGCATTGATAAGTTATACTTTTTTTATCTTTTCTAATCATAGTATGTACGTTCAATTCTTATATATTGCGTAAACTTTTGTTCAAATTAAATGTCACCCAAATTCAAATTGCTAAATTTCAAATTTCAAATTCCAAATTATTTTTGATATCTCAAATTATTTTTGATATCTCAAATTATTTTTTGATATCTCAAATTATTCTTGACATCTCAAATTATTTTTGGTATCCCAAATTATTTTTGACATCTCAAATTATTTTTGACATCTTAAATTATTTTTGACACCTAAATTATTTTTAATGTTTCAAATTATTATTGTTAATATTTCAAATTAAAAGTATATATATTTATTATTATATTTATTATAATATTTATTATATTTATTATTATTATAATTATTACTATTTATTATTATTACTATTATTATTATTATTACTATTATTATTATATTATTATTATTATATTATATTATTATTAAATTTATTATTAAAAAAATTAATGAATAATATATTATTAATTATTCTATGATTTCATTTATATTAGATATACACCTTTTCAATATTCTATTTATTAAAATCTTGAATACCATCATCATCATTAATTTGTTCTGATGAAAAAGATACTTCAACTGTTACTTCAATTTCAAGAATTTGTTAAAGTTCAGTATCTGTAATATCAAAAAATAAATCAAAATTTCGAAAATCTTCATTTCTATTTTTTTCAGATTAATTATTTTCTAATTTAATATCATTATCAAGATCTTCATCATCAGAATCTTCATCATCAAATGGAAATATTGTTTTTTTAATAATATTTTCAAATTCTTCATTATTTAATTCTTTATAAGCATATTTAATTTCATTTGTAGCATTTGAAATATAATATGCATACATTTGAATCATGTTTTGTAAAATAGAACAATTTAAATTAAAATTAAAAAAATTTTATTAATTAAATAATCAAAGTTAAATTCTTTCCATTATCAATCAAAAACTCTTTGACATTCATCTGAAAATCTAGTTTCTATTTGTGATAATTTCTTAATTGTTATTGCCATAGTTATAATATTAATAAAACAATTAGTTAAAGTTGATAACTTATATTCAAGATTCACTATAGCTTTTTTAATAGGTAACAATAATGCTTTCAAATCTTCAACATCTCTGAAAAAATTTCTTTGTTTCAAAATTGATATTATTTCTAAATTTAATATTTGTAAATTATTTTCCATTATTTTAAAAAAAAAATAAGTATAAAGTTAAATTATATTAATTTAATTAAATTTAAAATTTAAAATATATTATTACCTGTTTTAAAATATTTTCAGATCTTAGAATTGAATCAACACAGTCAAAAGTAGTAGTTCATCTTGTTGGAACATACTTTTTCAATTCACCACCTATAACTAAGTTATCTATAATTTCTTACTAAATATATGTACCAGCTATATATAATTGATTGAAAAAATTTACAATCTTTTTACAATTTACAATTATATCTGCAATCCAATCAAGTTGTATAATATCTTTTGATAAAAGATGAATATGGTGTACAATGCATCTCATTGATAAGATATGTGAATATTTTTCTGCTACCAACCTTTTTAAAAGTACAATATTAGATGTATTGTCACACCAATATGTAAACAAAGGTCTGAAGAATAACTAATATTCTTTAACTAATCTAACTTAAACTACTTAAATAATTTTCAGAATTTCTCGAGAATCACTAAGATCAACTCAATTCAATTATTTAATAGTGAATTCGAATGAATATTACAAGGTGAGTTCTTTATTGTGCGAGATTTTAGCATATCAAATTAACTTGTTTACTTAATAAGATGTATATGCTAAAGAGTATTTATACAAGATTAACTCAGATTTTATTAAAATTATGTGGCAAATTAACAAATTAAAGATTTAATAGGGATATTTAATATGATATAACTTTATTAATAAAATATAATATAAAATAAAAATTATAAAAGTAAAGATAAATATTAAAAAATTAAACTATATGTTAACTAGAAAAGATAACTTTGTTCTAGTCTTTTAAACTCTTGAGAACTATAAAACTTCTGAACTCTCCCTTCCCAGGTCAGGGAAGACTCATATTTATATTCCTTTAATTTGCTATATACAACGATCTACCAAATTAATGATTTACCAATTTTAAACAAGAGGTAATTAACCTGGTGATCATCTGTTACATGTAACAGGTAATTTACCTAGGTAATTTACCTGGTAATTAACCTGGTGAGTCACCTGTTACATGATCTTTGATTAACATAAATTATAAATAAATAATAAATACATTAAATAATAATATAATAAAAATAAATAAAATTAATATTCTATAGCATGATCTGAAACTATTGAACAAAATTTTTTTGCATCTATTTCATCAATAACTTTGATGATTTCAATTTTTAGAAATTCACCTGTATGAGAATCTCTGAAAAAATTTTTCAAGGAATGTATATATTCTTTATCATCACTTGTTATAATAACAAAAATGTAAAGAGATTAATTAACTGTAGATGTTCATCTATCTAAACCTAAAACAAATATAAAATTTTAGAATTTGTATTTTATATTAAATTATTATAAATTTAGAATTATTAATTAATTAATAAATTAAATAAAATCATACCTAAAGTTAAATTTGTCTCATTAGAAAGATTTTTTTTTATTTCAATAATAACAGTAGTAGTTTCAACATTAATCATATTATTGGATAAAGTTATTTTTTTAGAAATTTGATAACCTGAACATAATGTCTTTACAAAATCAATAAAAAAAGGATTCTTTACAATCTAAAAAGGAATTTCACAATAAATAAAAAATTTTTTAAGTACCTTTGAACTTCTTCTTTGTTTATTATCAGTAATTGATAATTTCTCTATATAACTGGTAATTTTTGACTGTTTATTTGTTTTCAGTTTCTTAGAAGTATTACCATTGTCATCATTATCAAATAATCCATTGTTTAATATCTCAAGATATATAGCATGTACTTTAGGTAGTGGTGATGTTAAACAAAATAGTACAATATATGCTATTATTTTTGAGAATTTTCCATAAGACCATTTTACTAAACAATATTTACATTATGACCCAGAATGCAAATCTTTTTTTTTACCTGTTAAAATAGCTGGTGTACAGAAAAAGTGTTACCAAATTTTATTTTTAAAATGACTTGAATATTTTTTGTTAGATACCTCAAGTATTTCAAAGTCTTTTTCATTATATTCATCTATGTTAAAATTATAAAAGTAACAAGTAAAGAAAAAATCTACATAATTTGTGACTTTTTTATTCAATATATTATACAAAAATTATATATATATATATGTACCTATCTTATTTTATTATCATATGTAGCATTTATATTTATAATAAAATTAAAATATATAATTATTTAACAATTAAAGAAATAAAAGAAAACTCAAAATAAAATAAAATTTATAACTATATAAGTTAACTTGGGTTACTTTAAATAAAGCTCAAAACTACACATGTTAAATTCAAATAAAACTCAAGAATACAACTGTTGAATTGAAATTAAGGCTCAAGACTACATAGTATTAATTTCAATTTATTTTAAATAAAGCTCATGACTACATAGGTTAATTCGGGATTACTTTAAAATAAAATTCAAGACTACACATGTTAAATTCAAAGTTACCTTAAATAAAGCTCAAAATTTAAAAAATAGAATTGAATATATATGCACTCAAAAAATAGACTTGAATATATATGCATTCGAAAAAATAAGCTCAAATATACAGTATATACCTCTTTCATAATTGATCGTACTTAATTCCTTCTACACATAAACCCTTGAATTGTAATTATTTTGTCTTGAGATTAATATTTTTATAGTTATATTTAATTTTGTTTATTAGTTTTAATATTATTTTATCACGTTGTCTTTGTAAATTGTAGAAGGTTTACACAAATAACAATATGTAATATTGTCAAAAACAGAATTTAAAGATCTCATCATATATTTTTCAATGGTGTTTTTAAAATAAAGATTATCTTCATTTTCATTAATCATATTGATAGGAAGAACAATCGTGTTTCTGGTTTTTGGTAGATCAGTTATAAGGAACTTTACTTAATCTGATGATTCACATATTGTTTCTCTCAATAATAGAAAAAATAATTCCATATTACTTAAACACCTTGCAACTACATGTTCATGAAATTTATCACCATCTTTTATGTTAAATAAGTGAGACAGTTCTGTTTTTGCAAGATACTTTGTCATATAGCATGCAAATTCTTTAGATGTAACATATTAAATATTCATATAAGCATTCCATATAAACAATATTACTAGATGATAAAGTACTATCCATCTGTCTTGTTGTTTT